AACTATATAATGGTCCAAAAGCAACACCGCAAAAAGTCATTCTCTCTAATTAGCAGGATAACAAAAAAAATGAACCTAATGCCCAGTGACCAAACAGCGTGCCCTCCTGCCACCCTGGCTCTACCGCTTCACCCTTCTCCTCAGAACAAAGCTCACAGTTCCTGCCTATTTTCTAGAGAAATAAACCTTTGTCATTGGCTGTGTGTGTGCATGTCAGGAAAGGAGAACAGGTGATATTTTTTATTTATGTATCCATAGTTCTAATTCAAGATTAATAAGTTAACTCTGTACAGCTTACCATTTATTCCCTCTGAAATTGCTTTTCATTCTGTGGTCTTAAAATCTTTCTTAACAACATTTAAAGTTAACCACCACTAATCTGAATACCTTCCTCAATCCCCAAGTAGACACGTGTTTTAACATGATTAAAAAGAAACCAGCGTATGCACCCATGGCAAGTAAGTACAACATTCAGAGTTTTCCACTTAAAAAAAAATTATCTTCAATTGGAGGCACAAACACTGAAATAAAACAAAGAATGAAAGCCAGATTTGTGCTGTATGAAGCTAGGCTAAATATAAAAGAAACTGCTCACATATAAAGTTAAATTATTTACAATTTGATCTTCAAGTAAACTACAATTCTAGCCATAGATCAGATCATGAAAAATTGTCTCAAGAATCACACCTAAGTTATTTAATATAGCACAAAAATCACAGAAAGAATTTTTTTTTTTTTGCTTAACCATACTCTAGTCTAGTTTCCGTTACAGCATAGCTATAATCCTCATTTTTAAATCAACTATTTCTGGTGACCAACCATACAGGTCAGCTGTATGATCCCAATGACTTCAGAGTGCTGTGAGCATTCCTTAGAACTTAGGCAACTAAATTCTTGCAAAAAAAAACCCAATATAAGGCAGATAAACTCAAATCCTAGCACATTAGCAAGATAGCAACTACCAAAAAAAAAAAAAATCACTTCAGAATCCCATAGAAATATTTCCATACAACTATATCAAAAAAGTCCAGTGTTCACTACAAACAACATCAACACACACTTACAAGATACAAACTTTGTCCCATCAAGGAGTGATCATGGAAATAAGTTTGAACTGTGTTTACTAAGTGAATGGAAAGTTCCACTACAATGATGGCAGTAACAGAGCCAGTTTTTTGATGCAGAAAGACAGATAAATAATATTACATTTCTTACTCTTCAGAACTACGAAGCTACGAAATTACTGAAATACTGTATTTAGTTGAAATCAGTATTTCAAATGTATATTAAAAAAAAACAAACAGTAAAGACTAGAAAAAAAAGTCCTAAAGAAGTGAATCTACTTTGTTCTTACAGATAAATTTAAGTAACTTGATCACAGTACAAAAATTCACACATGGAAGAAAAGATATCTACTAACAAAAAGGTCCCAAAAAACTTCATCAGTTTTTCAAGTGTCACAATGGCTAGAAACTGAAACCACAAGGAGTCAAACCAGCATCGTTATGTATACTTGAGAAAAAAATCATTGGTACAATCTACTACAGATGTAGCAGAACTTATACTAGTTGAATTTTTAAAGTCAAGATTGTATACTCTTATAAAATATATGCTTTTAGTTAAAAAGAAGGTATAAAGTTGATAGTGGCAATATTGGCTGAGACCATTCTATTATGCTTGAAATCAAATCAGATGATCATACTACATCTTAGTTACTAATTCATTATGAAAGGTGGCAATCAACCCATGGCTACATCATCTGAATTTCTTTTATTATATTCATTGAACCTTACGATCATAAATGGAAAAAAAAGACACCCTTAAGCAGTAGTCACGCTGACACAATTACAGAACCAATTCACACGAATATCTGTACGGCTCTAAAGAAAGTGATGTAAAACTGAATGTGCATCTGTTATCAAATTATTTCATTTAGTTGCCTACAGTCTTACTTTAAATATAAACTCTTCAGATAACATTAACCCATTTTCCTCAGTTTATAACTGATTAAAATGTATTAAAATAACCTTTTGATATGCATCAATTTAGCAGACTGCAGTCAAAACTACATGAATTTCATTCTAACAGCAAGAAACCAAAGTTTTTTAATCAATGGGGTACATTTACCTGAATATATTGGTTCTGCAATATATTGCAATTTTTCAAACAGTTTGTGGAACAGTAACATACTACTCTTCCTGCCTTTGCATTTAATTCCTAAAGTAGTTTTGAGTTATTTTTAAGCACTCAAGAGTTACATCAAGTACTATGCACCACGATGAGTAATTGTATGTGTTCAATAAAAAGTGAAATCACAAACTATCCTACTTAGAAACAGGTCAAGGAAAAAATCCTAGACGAAAATATAAATAGAATTTCCTCGTCTTCCCATTCACAATATCAAAAACTTATTTGCTAAAAAAAGTTGAAAAAACTAAAATTAAGTTATTTCTTCTATAGCATTTGCTTGTATATTATTAATTCATTTTATTATTACAAATTAATATTATGAATGGTATTTTTATTGTAATTGATTTCCCTACCTTAGTATGACATCAAGCAATATTCCTTTCATATTCTCTGAAGAAAGTTCCATCCACAATTATCAGTGAAAAGCTTTATTTATTAACAGAAATGGGAAAGAGAAACTATGCCTTCAATTATAGTATAATTTCTGCACCCTAAAACTCTCTACTGAGAGATGATTAATGTTCAGACATGTCTCAGATTTTGAGACACTCAAGCAGTTAGAGAGATGTTCAGCTTGAAATTCTTTAACTTCCTAATCTCAATATGCACTATCAACAATTCTTCAACAAGCTGACAGAAAAAAAAAATACATACTGAAGATTAAGATGTCATTTCCTCTCCTCCCCCCCGCTTTAACGTTTATTCTTTAATCTAAAAAAAACCAAAACCCACACATAAGGGAGCGTAGCAAACTTAAAAATATTCTATGATAAGCAGAAACAAATTTGATCACTTGATGTAACTGGAGATGACTTTCTAAAAAAGAAAAACACCATTTATCAGGTCATCTATTAATTATGAAAAAATAAATCCTTAGGCAAAATCAGATCATTTATTACATTCTTATCTAGTTTGTCAACCCACCAAATTCACTAGTATGATAAAAGCTGTCAGAGATCTGCAGTTCAGGGTGCCTATTTTAATTACCAGGAACTGGTAATCTAGCTGTGACATCAATGCATGTGCACTGAAGCAAGGCTGCCCAGAAGATTTTCAACAACTCATTTTCAAAAATTTCATAGGAATGTCATATTTTTGCCAATACAAAAAACAAGGGGGGTGGGTGTTGGTTTTTTTTTTTTTTGAGGGAGTGGTTTGGTGTTCTTTTTGTTGTTGTTTGTTTGTTTAACTCCATGAATCATCAGATGATCTTTCCTGTTTAAGAAATTCAGGTGATAAACCGCAGAGCAGAAAAAAAAGTAAGTATTACCTACTTGGCTCTTCTTTTCTCACCAAATCACTTGAGTGATGTCAATCATTTTTATAAGTACATTAAATACATACGTAGCAAAACAAATGGCAAAGCATTTACTCAACATAGCTAAAAAATAATGTATATAACCTGTAAAACAGAGTTGTCAAGCTTAACAAGAAAACATGATTGCAAAGGTGCATTTAAATACGTTGGTTTCATTTGTGAACAAAAGCAGGGCTTACTTGACAGTATTCAGCCTACGCACATGATGACAAAGCAAAGAAAAATTATAAAGGTAATACTATAAGATTTTCTGATATGAATGCATCTCAGGGAAATAATAAGCTTTTTTTTTAGTAGCAGTGATAAATGTGATTACTAGCAAGTCTCTTAACCTTGCAAATAAGACAAGGTGGAAGAGAATATTTAAGTAACAAAAAACAATTTTCCACTTAGTCATGAGTTGTCTCCTTTAAGCTACTTTTCTGCAGTCCTGTCAGAAACTTAAAATAAATCCATATAGAGAAGATATTAAATATCTTCTTGTGAATTTCTGTCACTGAATCCATTCAGATGGTTAATCCCACTAAAACTATCTTTCCAAATACACAGTAGTTCGGAGAACCTCTTCATTACATCCACCTACTAAATGTCATGAGCAGTTTTGAATGGCTCTAGACATCAATCCCCTCTTTTTTTTTTTTCCCCTTTGAAAATCCCACAAAACCATGACTTCTGTCTGGTTGCAGTAAGGAAGAATAGGTGTCACGTGAACTATTTGAGGTTTTATAAATGCACAACATGCCTTGGACTTGGCCATGTACCATACTCCAAATGCTTCCACATATATGGAAATGTGCTTTGTGCAAAATAAAAACATGTAAATTTCTTTTACGGAAAAAAAAAGTACTTTTGCTTAGTCTTGCTCACAGTTTTGTGAGCTTCTTGAATCTACAGTATAATTAACTTGTTACTTTATAGTTCTGAGTAAAAGCAAAGCTGGATATATGAAAATTCTGGAGGGAAAAGGGGCTAGACAGGTATCATATGGTATTCTCCCAGAGATTTTACTTATTAGTGCTTAAAGAACCTACAGTCTCTATTCCCTACAGAAATAAAAGGACAAATCACTCTTGAGTACAAAAAAAGTAAATATTTTTTTCTGTAAAATGATCTGTTAAAAAAATTAAATAAAAACCATTAACAAAATTAATACTCTCCCTTTCATAAAACAACACATCTGAAGCTAAAATAATGAATACTCTAAACTCTCCTGCTGATCATTTTCTAGATTGAATTGATCCAACAATTAGCATTAAATACCACTCTTTAAGGCAAAAAAAACATGTAATACTATATTTATGATCAGTCACTATATATACTTCCTTCAAGAAAACTATCTGGTTTCCCGCTTGGAAGTCTGATTATAAATGCTTTAAGTTATACTCAGTTATATGTTTTCTTACACTCAGCGTATTCTGTTATGCTTTTCCATGCACTAGAATAAAAGCATGGAAGAAGAGACTTAAAACTTATTTTCAAGTGCTGTAAATACTTAACCAGATGATCAGAATGTTCCGATCACCAATGAAGACACACAAAAAGGATATGCTCATCTTTTCTACAAACTTATCATGTTCATCTTGCGTTTTAGGGAAATTCCGAATGTCATTTTCTAGGCGCTGGATCTGACGGTTCATTGACTCAAGGTTGCTCTTCAGAGTCTGGGCTGAAACTAAGAAAAAAATGACAATAAGTAAAAAGCTTCCAGATTGCAGAAAGGTTATCAGAAAGGGAAAAAACAATGTCAATATAAACAGTCTTAAAGAGAATGATTCCATTAAGTAGACTCACATTTTTCTGAATTACTGCTTGTAAAAATCCTACTTTTCATAAAAATTATGTGAAAATATCTAATGTAATATACCAAATCATCATATTTAATGTTGAAATGTCAATACTTGATTCAACCGTTAGTTCAAATTATTCTATTTCTATTTAAATTTATTGGTAAAAATTCTAATATTTCATTCTTTTAAATCTAATTCAAAGATTAAAAAGTAACTAAGGTTCAAAGAAATTTTACCTTATTAATGCATGTACTTGGTTAAATGAATGATCTTATTAACTCATGTACTCTGTTACAGAAATCATTCAAGAAATAGACATGGAAAAAAGATCAAATATTTTTCTTTTATTGAAGTTAAACTGATTTTTAGAAACTAACATCTGTGAAACCCTCTGTTAACATCAAAAGTACGTCTGAATAATAGAAGCTACTGATAATTAAAAAGTAATAAAGGCCTCTCAGTAGAGCACAAAAAAAAAAGAGGCTACTCTAAAGAAACACTGCTTACTCTGTCATATGCTATTCTAGTGTAAACCACTAGTCCTGTAATTTGTATTAAATAACCACTAATTGATAGATCATGAGAAAAATAGTCTTCATTGGAAATCATGACATCACAACTTTGAAGGTGAAACAATACCATATCACAAAGAAATTCCACAACTAGATGAGAAGTGACAGAGTCTCTGCAGAGAAGCCCCTGGTCAAACTGTAATATTAAAACAAACTGAACCAATAATATTCAGTTTTATAATATAATCCACAAAGTCTACTTATCATTCTCTATTTAATTTTTGTTTGACGAGCACTTCCTCTCAATTTAAAGATGCATTTTAGAACCAAATTCTATCTTCTGTTTTTTGTCTCCTCTTGCATAGTCCACAAATACATGCTTTCAAAAACAAGTAGATAATTTCAACACCACCTTTCCACAAAGAGCACTGTAACATTTTCACCATTTCACATCCTTCCTCTAAACTGAATACAGAATCATTCTAATATACTTTGTTTCAGAGCCCATTTATACTCTACAAACCTACTTAACCTTTAGTTACAGTGCATGTAATCCCGGTCATTTCTTAAAAAGACTGCCACAGCAACTTTTGATATGTGAAACTAGAGGTGAGAACATCCAACACATTATCTACTCAGTAATTGGCCAAGTCAATGCTCTTCGTTGACTGCAGGCAGCTGCTCTACAAAGCTAACACTGTAGCTTTGCATCCCAGCTACCCAAGGATTCTTTGTGTAGTCAAGATAAGCACGACTTTTTTTTTTTTAAAGGGTTTCCACTTTTTATTCTTTTTGGACAGTTTGTCCAAAAGTTGCACATAGTATTTTCAGAAGAATGGTTTATTTTCGTCTTTCCTTGTAATTTAAAAAATTGTGCTATGAATATGTGAGATTAAATAATGGAAGAATTTGATTCAAGATGGCTTGAAAACAGTATATAGGAAATAAAAATCCTGTAAATAAGGAAGCTGTTCCCAGAACAAAATCAATTCTATATGCTCTGTAAGTAACGATTCATATCAACCATAATACCACTGATGGAACTTTTCACAAGCATGTTCAAATATACAGGACACCAATACAGCCGTCTTTGTCACAGACATAATCTTGATTTTATTTTTAATTTTACCTATTTTTTAGCAGTTATCAAAGGAACTACTAATCATGTAATCTTGAAATTATAGTGACACAGCTTTTTAAGCTGAGGTCAACTTTGGGAAAAACAAATACATGTATACTGACCACAGCATCCTTGTAGCTATTAACTTAACATTCAGGAGTTATCCTTGAAATGAATCACTAAAGCAGTTTGAATAATAAACATTATCAAAGCTTTTAGGTTATGGCTGCATTAGTTTAATCATTTGATATTATTGTCAGAAAAGGAGCACACATTTTCACTTGAACTGAAGAACTTCAATTACTATAATATTTTTATAGGCTGTTATGTAGGTGCACAGAGAGACAAACAGCACTAAAGTAAAACGCTAAAACTGAACAATAAATTAGGAGGATGCAAATGGTAATTTTGTTCATAAAAAGAGTAGCAGCTGGTAAGTAAATAGACAACATAACAGGTACAGTTTAACTGTTTTCAGCAATCTGAAATTATTTAAATGCATGACTGCTTAGCAAGAGTAGTAGTTTATCTTTGTCTCAAATTTAAAAGTGCAAAGAAGTTCAGCAAGCAATGACAAATAAGAAGTCCTAGCCTCCGTGATTAAAATGGAAGACAAGTGTTTTCAGTAACTCTGTTTTATAAAACTAAGTTCAGAAAACAGTTTAGATTAGGTGCATACTGACTTTGAAAGTATGAAGGAAGTCTATCCAACCAAGAAGCCTGCATTCAAAAGCTATTCTACCCATAACTAACTTCTATATTCACAGTGAATTATCAAAAATAATTGTAGAATGTGCATTTTGCTCACTTGAATTTTGTCTAGCCCAGGCAAATGCACTAGTTTCTGTTCAAACAATTTATGAAGCTCTTGTTCTGCAAGACAAGCTTAAACAGACTACATATATATAGAAACATATATATAGACTATAATAAAATATCTGCATTTCCTCCCATAAACCGTTTTATTAAAGATTTACTACTTCAGTAATGTGAAGAGGAGGTGACACAAATACCTTTTACTCTTTCAGTAAAAATCATGTAGATTTCTTGAAAGTCTTGTAAGGTTTTAAATTTATGAAAGCATAAACCGTACTTGCAGCAAAATGCCATTTCTTTGAAACCATTCCATAAATGCACATACTAAATGGACTGTCTTTATCGTTATACTCCTCAAAGCTGGTGATCACAAGACAAAGGCTTGTTCACCTTCAATTTGCCCATCATTCCACAGGAAAATTAGACATCCTGGTAGAACTAGTCTAAAAATCTACATGAAAGGTAGCACTTGGTCTTCAGTGCCACACAAGGACTGTTTAAAAACTATTACTGGGAAAGTCTCTCTGGAACAGCAATTACAATACTATTTCATTTAATGTTGCAGCAGGAGAGAACAACCAACTAAATCCAGTACACAAATACTTGGTTTCAAGATAGGAACAATGAGGCAACTACTAAAAGAAAAAAAGAGATAAAAGAAAAAAAAAAAACCACACACCAGAAACAACTCTCCACAACTCACCCCACACTCTAAAATAAGCAGTCCCAAAAAAGGAAGCAGTCTATAAGACGCCTAGACATTTCCCTGTATCAGCAGCAAAGATAAAATATTTGCCACATTTCAAAAGCAAAAGAAAATCAGCAGCAATAAACAATTCACCTCATCATGCTCACAGCTTTATAGTAGAATTAAGACCCCCATCCATAGTGAAAAGGTCAGCATTTAAGAAATGGGAAAGTCTAAGAAGTCAAAAGAAAGTCAAATTTGCTGACACGGGGAACAGTGGAAGCAGAAGACAAACAACTTTAGAAAGGATTACTTAGATTCACATATACAACAGGTCCATAAAGAGATATCAAAAGGAATAGGCAGGGATGTAATGCTTAATATGTCTCTGAGAACATGGTGGGGGCAACAGATTGGATGAACTGCACTGTTCTCCCTAAATAGCATATCTTGCTGCCAGCACCAGACAGAGCTTCAGGTCATGTGGACCACTGGGTACTTAGTACATTCTTATGCCTTAAATCAAAAAACACATAAACCCCCAAACCTACATATATGTATGTACAGACCCATCTTCAAGGCCAAAGAGAGTAAAAAAGGCAGCAAGATTTCTCAATCTGTACCAAACTGTACCAGGCTGGCCCCTTTTTCAGCAATAAGAAAAAGTCGGCTTGTGGAGAGCTGCAGCAACTCTAAGATGGAAAGAAACAGAGCATCTTTGACATGTGTACCTCAAACCGCTACAATAAAAGGATCTATAAGACAGAGGAAAAATCCAGTACCAGAAATTAAACGTGTATGTTTCAACTAACTAAAGCATTATCACACAGAATTACTATCAACATATAAGACTAATATAAACAAGGTGAATATAAAGTTATGTATATTAATATATTGTCAGATTATTTTTCATGTCAGTGGAAGACTAATGCAAGCACCTGGATTTATCAATATTTTCTCTGCACAAATATTGAATGAAGCTCAGTTAATCATGCATCATTAAATCTACAACCAATTAAAAGATTAATTTGTATATTATTATTTATTTATAATAGAAATCCACAGTCATTGAAGAGAAGCCACAATGTCATTTTAACATGAAAGGTGGTAATTTTTTTCTTCACTTTCCTATTTTTCATATATTAATTCCTCCTCTGTAAAAAATAAAAATCCCATCCACTTATTTTGCAGAAAGCAGTTGCACAGACTGCACACTAAGGAAGGCTTAGTGAATGTCTGGTAGATCACTTTAGTCCTAGAAAAATGCTACAAGCAGTTAATCTCATGGTAATGTCAAACACTAGCTAGTCTCCACAGTCAAGCTAAGCATTTTATATTTACACTAATACAGTAATAGTACCAAAGGACAGACTAATCCTATCTAAAATCAGATTGCATCAGGCTAAGAGTCCTCCCCTATAACAAGAGGTGCAATGATACATTTTGATTAGGTGCAGTGTCTCTTGCATAGTAAATTCAAAGGGTCTCTGATCCTGATGCAAAACAGGGATGGCCATGTTCACGTTTAGTAAAAACTCTGAAGTGAGAGCTGTCACCAACGAGTGGTTTAGGGTCACCCAATGATATAAATTACTTCAGTAAGCAAAAGCAAGTCTATATGAAGCAAATGAACTATTGGATTTCTAAGTCTAGACAGTATTTGCACCATAACTACATTCGGAGCATGCTAATGATTATTTATTTCTTATTGCCTGAGGGTAGATGGAAGTAGTCTTTCACAAAAGTCTG